TTCAACTCCCAGAAGTCCACAAGTCTTAAAGCGGCCAAGTTTGGAGAATTCTGGGAGTTGAAGTCCACAAGTCTTAAAGCGGCCAAGTTTGGAGACCTCTGCACTAAACGAACAGTTGTAAATTGAGGATTATCTTTAAATCCGAGTCTCAAATCCAAGAGACTGTTAAAAGGACAGGATGAGGAAATGGATGTCAACACATTGGGCGAGACCTGGCTCCAAAACAGGAACTGCGAGAGGGACCTTGGAGTCCTAGGGAACGATCCCTTGAATATGAGCCAGCCGTGTGCGGCAGCAGCCAAAAAAGCCAACACAATCCTTGGTTGTATAAACAGGGACATTGAATCAAACTCACGTGAAGGATTAGTACCGCTTTATAAAGCCTTAGTAAGGCCACACCTCGAATCCTGCATCCGGTTTTGGTCACCACATTCCAAAAAAGATGTTGAGGCTTTGGAAAAAGTGCAGAGAAGAGCAACAAAGAGGATTTAGGGGACTGGAGAGGCTGAAACATATGAAGAACGGTTGCAGGAACTGGGTATGTCTAGTTTAAAGAAAAGAAGGACCAGGGGAGACATGATAGCAGTCTTCCAATATCTCAGGGGCTGCCCCAAAGAAGAGGCAGTCAAGCTATTCTCCAAAGCCCCTGAAGGCAGGACAAGAAGCAATGGGTGGAAACTAATCAAGGAGAGAAGCAACCTGGAATTAAGGATGAATTTTCTATCAGTGAGGACAAATAACCAGTGGAACTGCTTGCCACCAGAAATCATGGACACTCCATCACTGGAGGTTTTTAAGAAGCAACTAGACATCCACTTGTCTGAAACGGTCTAGGGTCCCTTCAAGGGTTGGACTAGAAGACCTCCAAGATCCCTTCCAGCTCCTCTCCTCTCCTCTCCTCAGAACTCTTAAAAGGCCAAGTCTAAAGACCCACTCACCATTACAGGAGCAATCAATGCAATTCGTCGAGACACAATTGAAATATTACAATATGATGAATGGGCAGTTAGGCCCTGGCAATTCTCACAGAGATTTCTGAATCCTTAAATGTACATAATAAAAAAACTTCTTTTTTTAAAAAAAACCAAAAACCTCATCAATGAATTTGCCAAGCCTGCAAAGGACACTTTGAAAGTTCAAGATCATTCTTACAAAGTCCTATATGGTATACATATTAGCAACCCCAATTACGACCAGAAACTTGTCATTAAGCAAAGCGGCTGCTAAGTGAAACCATGATGGCGCTCATAATCTCGCTTCAACTTTCCTTCACTTTAAATGCAAGGATTGGTTTTAGCCAAATTTTGACCAAGCGTCACAAATTACTCTGGGACAAAATTCCTCCAGACCCAGAGCCCCCCAACGTATGTCCATTGACCCAGAGCCTATCTGAACCTGGAACAGGTGACCCCAAGCCCCCCCCCTTTGTCCTTCGAGGTCATTTCCAAGTGGTCTCGGAGCCCACCGTGGCCCCTTTGCAGCCAGAGCTGCTCCGAGGAAAATGAAAATAGATTTTGCAAAGGTCTGGTTGCCAGGGTCTTTGGCTCCGGTTGCTATGTTTGCAGAATGATAAAATGCTGCCACGCAGCCTTGCCTTCGCCAGGTGCTTGAGACACAAAGGGGGCAGGAGATGGCCAAGGAGGGGAGGGGGTGTCTGGGTTGGGAAGGCCCTCCCCAGCTCTTCCCTGCAGCTGGAAGTATTTTTCTGGAGTGTGTGGGAAGGTAGGCAGGGTACCACATCTGAATGATGCCAAGGGGTGAAGGGGCTCCGCGTCTCTGCAAAATGGGAGCATCCAAAAAGAAGGTCTGGCATCTCTTTCACCAACCTGGCGCCCTCCGGGTGGGTCTTATTTAAGCTCTCACAACCCCCAGTTGAGCATGGAAGGGGGGGGAGGTTGGGGGAGGCTGTGCCACACTCACATCCATGTTTGTGTGTGTGTGTGTGTGTGTGTGTGTGTTTGCCAGCCTCAAAGAGGAAGGAACTGCAGGCAGGATAGCTGTGCCAAGGAAGGGGGAGGTCGCCCACCAGAGCTGCCCCTTTTCCAAGGGGGTTTGCGAGACGGAGAAGATGGTTTGGGGGCTCCTGGTTACATGGGGGTTTATTACCGCCAGCGCTCTTGCAGAGCAAGCCTCTAGGGCTGCAAACAGGGAGGGGGGGGCAGAGCTTTGGGGGCTTTGCATAAGTACTCCTCGACTTAACCACCATTCGTTTAGTGACCGAACTTACACCAGCACTGAAAAAAACAGAAGGAGAAAACTGACGGCAGAAAAAGACCTTTGTGGTCCATCGAGTCCAACCCATTGGCTGTTGGTTTATTTAGTTATTTAGTTATTATCTTGGCGTTTTTATTTTCGTTTTATTTTTTTAATGACATGTCTGTTTTCAAACTTACGACTGTTGCAGCATCCCCGTGGTCACGTGATCAAAATCCAGGTGATTGGCACCTGGTGTGTATTTATGACAGTTGCCATGTCCTGGGGGGGCATTGTGATTCCCCAAATGCCAGTGCATAGAATAATAGAGTCGGAAGGGACCTTGGAGGTCTTCTAGCCCAACCCCCTGCTTGAGAAGGAGACCCTATATAGACAGTCGAGGTCTACCTGTAGAGCTGGGGAGGACCGGATCAGCATCCACCCCTCACACTGGGGACAAGGATAACGCTGGGAAAGAGCTTCAAATGCTTTTTAAACATGCCAGCATGGCTAAACATTCCTTACCTATCTATCCCCCGGCTCAGTTCTCACAATCCAGGTCTTGAGGCCCCGGCCAATGCAGGAATGAAACTCCATCTCTGGTCCTGCTTCAAGTCACACAGATGGAAGCTCAAGGGGGGAGGCTTGGGAAAGGCCCCCGCATGCGGAAAACTAGCGCCTCAGGGAACAGGGTTTCTTTCTGACGGGCTAAGTTTCTGCAAGCAGGTGGGGGGAGGAAGTTAGGTAATGCAGGAGACAGAATCATGCAAAAATGAGAAAAAGATGAACGCACAACTTACAACAATTCGTTTAGTGACAAAGTAAATTCAATTTATCAGCGTGTTTGCCTGAATGAGCTACGTTTCCCAGTTTTTACTCCCCCCATCCACTTTTATGAGCAACCCAAATGATACAATGCACTGAACGTCTAATAAAGACACTTCGTCCCTTTGTGTGTTTGTAAAACAGCGTTTCTCACCTCCCAGAATTCCCCAGCCAGCATAGTTTACTCTCTTGCAATCCCTTCCTCTGCAATCTCTCCGCTTTAGTGGGTAGGAGGAAAAAAAATGGCTGACTAGGGAATTCTGGGAGTTGAAGTCCACACATCGTCAAATTGCCAAAGTGGAGAAACATCGTGAAGAATGCTAAATACGTACAACATGTTTTTTTTAGTAATGTTTCCCTTGGTTTTCCCCAAAGAGGAACAAAAATATGACCTCAGAGAGGGTTAGCAGGTTGTTTTCCTACTGCTTAAAAAATAATAATAATCAGAAATATTGCATTGCTCCGTGTGCTGAGTGCTCAGAAGTGAGTAAAGCTGCTGGGTGAGGATTTGAAGCTTTGAAGCATGTTGTGCATTGCACCTTTTTTTTAAAAAAAAGAAACAGAGAGTGGGGTCCTCGTAGACCCTCCGCGGGGTGGTTTTGTGCCCACTGCCAGCCTGGCACACCTGCTCTGCCACCTGAGCTCGGGTGTGTGTGTGTGGTGGAATTGACTCAGGCTGTGTCTTGTTGTGTGTGTGAGTTTGAGAAACAGGAAGGACACGCGTGTAACGCCAGACGAGGGAGTGACGGGGAGGATTGTGTCATAAGTCCGGGGAAGCCGGTCGTGGGAGGAAGCCCTTCTGAGTTGGCTTCCTTGTCTTGACGGCGTCTCTGGCAGTTTTCTGGACGTCTTTTCTCGGCTGGGTTTTTTCTTTCGGAAGAGGGCTGGTTTTGAAGGTGGTGCTAGGCCTGGTTAAGGAGGCGGTGGAGATCTTGGGGAAAGCATCACCAGAAATAAGGGGGAAGGGGTTGGGAGGGGGGAACAGCAGGGGTGAAATCCAGCAGGTTCCGACAGGTTCTGGAGAACCGGTAGCGGAAATTTTGAGCAGTTCGGAGAACCGGCAAATGCCACCTCTGGCTGGCCCCAGAGTGGGGCGGGAATGGGGATTTTGCAGTATCCTTCCCCTGTCACGCCCACCAAGCCACGCCCACAGAACCGGTAGTAAAAAAAATTTGGATTTCACCACTGGGGAACAGGCCCTGCCTGCAAAGCCTGGGAAGGGGCAAGGAGGAAGGAAGGGGGCTCCTAAGATCTCATCCAGCAAGCAGAGGGTCTCCTTCCCTTCTCTGGATCTCTCTGGCTGGCCTTCTCCTTCTTTCTTCTCCTTCTTTCTTCCCCTTTTCCTTCCCCTTCCCCCTCCTCCTCCTCTACCACCAGTTCTTCTCCTTCTCCTCCTCCTCCTCCTCCTTCTTTTTCTCCTTCTCCTTCTTTCCTTCCTTTTTTCTTCTCCTTCTCCTCCTTCCCCCTCCTCCTTCCCATTCTCCTTCTCCTTCTCCTCCTTCTTTCTTCTTCTTTCTTCTCCTTCTCCTCCTTCTTTCTTCTCCTTCCCCCCTCCTCCTCTACCACCTATTCTTCTCCTCCTCCTTCTTTCTTCTTTTTTCTTCTCCTCCTTCTTTCTTCTTCTCCTCCTCCTTCTTCCCACTCCTCCTCCTCCTCTACCACCAGTTCTTCTCCTTCACCACCAGTTTTCCTTCCCCCTCTCCTCCCGCCTCCTTCTCCTCTCCTTCTCTTTTCCTCCTCTTCCAACACCAACGTTCCTCCTTCTCTTTCTCCTTGCTTTCCACCTCCCCTCCTCCCCATCACCACTATTTCTCCTTCTCCTCCACCTTTCTTCTCTTCAGGGTGACCACGCGGCTGGCATTGCAAGGGACCCCAAGTCCGCTGATGGTGTTTGGGGTCCATAGAGCCACCAGGCAAAACAGTGAGCCCATCTCCAGACCCTCCCTCAACATCCCTACCTGTCTGCTCTTGTTTCCCTGCAGGATGAGGGCCCAGCAAGTCCTCCTGATCGCCGTCTGCCTCCATGCGCCGGACCTGCTGGTCAGCACCTCTGGTGAGTGCACCCACGAGTTGAGCCCCTGAAGAAGGACAGGGCTGCATCCACACAACACACCGACACGAAGTGCGCCCAATGTGCCCATAGACCCAAAGATTAAGCCATAGGGCTGAACTGAGCCTCCCGCAGGCCTTTCGTTGACCTCGTTGCACAATATTCTCCTTCTGTTCAGTTGGGAATGCGGGAAGCACTCAACTTGTGACCGCCGTTGACTTTTCTTGCCACCGTTGTTAAGTGAACTCTTTTTTCCCAGCGCTGTCATAATAGTCACTAAGCGAATAATCGTAAGTCAAGGACTATGTGCAGTTTTGTCACTTTTGAGCCGGAAAGAGGGAAATCATGTGGTTTCTCACTTAGCGACTGCTTTGCTTGGTGTTCCTGGTTCCGGTCGCTAAGTGAGGACTGCCTGTATTGAGAAGAAGCTGCCTCTCACAATCACTATCCAAATTGTCCTTTTGTCTACTTTTTCATCCTGGGAAAAGCTTTGCGTGTTGTGAGACAGAAATCGGCAGGAAGGTTTATGGCTTTCTTTTTTAAAAGAGATTTCTTTATCTGCAGGAGAGCTTAGGATGCCCATGCAAATTTCGATTAACACCACTTTTCCTGAAAAAGCTGTTCCTGCCAATGGCAGTCTGTTTCTTGCTAAAAACGGCCTCTCGGCTTCCGGGAAATTGTGGCATCTGGCAAAGTGTGCAAACCACACATCCTATTTCACACGGGTGTCATGGCAACTCACACAGTCAACTGGAATAAAAAGCATAACAGAATAACAGACTAATTATGGAAGGGGCCTCGGAGGTCTTCTAGTCCAACCCCCTGCTCAGGCAGGAAACCCTATGTCATTTCAGACAAATGACTGTCCAGTCTCTTTTTAAAAACATCCAGGAATGGAGCACCCACAACTTCTGGTGGCAAGCAGTTCCACTGGTTATTTGTCCTCACTGATAGAAAATTCATCCTTAATTCCAGGTTGCTTCTCTCCTTGCTTAGTTTCCACCTGTTGCTTCTTGTCCTGCCTTCAGGTGATTTGGAGAATAGCTTGACTCCCTCTTCTCTGGGGCAGCCCCTCAAATATGGGAAGATGCTATTCATGTCTCCCCTGGTCCTCCTTTTCATCAAACTAGCCATACTCAATTCCTGCAACCGTTCTTCGTCTATTTTAGCCTCCAGTCCCCTAATCATCTTTCTATCTTTGTGATAGTCTTAAGCAACTTCAAATTGTGCCAGCTGGGGAATTCTGGGAGTCGAAGCCCACCCCTCTCTTAAATTTGCTGAGGTTGAGAAACGAGGGATCTGAAGCGTTGCCCAGAATCTAATGCAAGGAAGAGATGTTATTGAACCAAGTGGAAACAGCGAGGAAATTTAATTTATCTAATTGGAAAATTGTCAGGAATCCCTAGCGTTGGTTAAGATTTTGGCTTCCAAAGAGAACTTTTCTTTAAAGCGAAAGAGCTGATAGAGAGGAGATTAAAAAAAGGGAAAGCGAAAGAGCTGATAAGAGAGGAGATTAAAGGGGAACGGAAAGATATATGGGGACCAGACCTGGAGAATCATTTAAAAACAGTTGCTATTGAATTCAGGCGCACAGAAGGACAATTAGCAAGTCGTCGTTAAGGGGGAACAGAAGGCTGGTTTTGGAAAACGGGAATGTTGCCCGAAGCGGCCCAGCCAAGAGAATGCATCTTTGCACTCCTCTTAATGAATCTGATGATGGAAAATGATCTCATGCAACCATATCTCACCCCTCGGAGAGACGGACGAGTGAAAGGAGCTCTATTTGCTAGTCGTTGGATGAGATTTATGGATATTGTAGTTCAAATTTCATTTGGTTCCATGTGGTTTCATGGACGCATACAGAGAGCAACAAAAACGATTCGGGGACTGGAGGTTAAAACATACGATGAACGGTTGCAGGAACTGGGCATGGCTGGTCTAGGGAAGAGAAGGACCAGGGGAGACAGGAGAGCATCTTCCAATATTTGAGGGGCTGCCACAGAGAGGAAGGGGCCAAGCAATTTTTCCAAGGAACCTGAAGGCCAGATAAGAAGCAATGGATGGAAACTGACCAAGGAGAGATTCAACCTGGAAATAAGTAGGAATTTTCTGACAGTGAGAGCAATCAACCGATGGAAGAGAAGTTGCCTTCGGAAGTTGTGGGAGCTTCATCACTGGAGGCTTCCAATAAGAGACTGGACTGCCATCTGTCAGAAATGGTGTAGGGTCTCCTGCTTGGGCTGGGGGTTGGACTAGTTGACCTCCAAGGTCCCTTCCAACTCTGCTATTCTATTCTATTCTATTCTATTCTATTCTATTCTATTCTATTCTATTCTATTCTACTCTACTCTACTCTACTCTACTCTACTCTACTCTACTCTACTCCACTCCACTCCACTCCACTCCACTCCATTCTCTAATCTCTTCTCTCCTATTATTTCTATTTCTCTTCTTTCATTTTTTTCCGATGCCCTCCCGAGTCTCCAAGACAGTGAGCCAACCGACCCTAAACCTCAAGAGGAAAATGGAATTAGCCGCACGTCTTGCAGCTAAACCCACTCTTAATCCCTGCTTTAGATGCTGTCCCCGTCTTGTGACGAGGCGGGGGGGGGGGGGGGGGGGGGGGACTGGGGAATTTGTCAGGAGCAAAACCCTAGGCTTAGTTCACAGGAGGGGCCGTGCGCAAGGTGACAATGACAACTTCAGGAGTCGGGACCTGGGGCTCGGGGAGAAATTAAGAGGGGGCAGAGAATGGGGTCTCTCTCCTGGAAATTTCAAGGGTGGACGTCAGACTTATATGAGCTCAGGACAGCTGCAGCCTCTTCAAATGCCCTTAAAAGCTCAGAGCTGGAAAGGGACGTCAGAGGTCATCAAGTCCACCCCCTGCAGGATTCACGATACCATCCCACTTAATACTTCTCCAGCCTCTGTCTGTTGGGAAATTCTTGGTGCAAGAAACCCCTCCACCCAGCAGCCTTTTCCAAGAATTTTGAGTTTTTTTCCCTCTCCAGAAAGTTTCATCTGTGGGGAAAGCCAGATTCACTTAACAACTGTCCTGCTTAGCAACACAAATTTTGAAGTCGCAAGTCACAGGTTAATACTACCTGTATTAATAATTCTCTTCTACCTCTGAGTATTGTCTCTGGGGTCCGTGTTCGAGTCCCACCAAACTCAGGCCCTGGATTTGCAGATTAGGTAAAGAGCTAAGAAAAGGAAAGAGGTTGATTCAGGCTGTCCAACGTCACTGTGAGTGGGCTTCAGTTCCCAGAATTCCCCCGGCCTGTGGGATCCTCGTGAGAATTTTGGGAAAGGGTCCATCTATTAGATTATTAGATTAACAGAGTTGGAAGGGACCTTGTAGGTCATCTAGTCCAACCCCCCCCTCCAAAACCTCTTTGGAAGTTGGAAAGAGCAGGTATCTGAAGTTGGTGACCGGCGTTTAATCCTGCTTTTTGGGGGGGGGTCCTTTCCAGAGCGCTGCGATGACTGGGGGGTCGACACCATGAAGCACAAGCCGGTGTACAGCGGGGAACCGGCCAAGATCAAGTGCCCCCTCTTTGTGGCTTTTGTGAAGTACAACTACAGCACTGCCCACTCGGCTGGCTTGACCCTCATCTGGTACTGGATCGGGCAGGGCCAGGACCTGGAGGAGCCCATTAACTTCCGCCATCCCGACAACCACATCAGCAAGGAGAAGGACATGCTCTGGTTCCGCCCGGCACTGCTCAACGACACGGGGAACTACACCTGTATGCTCAGGTAAGCTTGGCTGAGGCTTCCTTCTCCTGCTCGCTTGGGGAGGGGGGGGGAAGAAACCTTGCAATGCTCCCCACAATTCGTCCAAGCAAGGTGGTCTCTCAATAAAGGAGAATATCCGTAGCTCAGGGTTGAAATGAGGGGTGCTTGGTGCTCTCTGAGCTTGGCGGTTTCCTTGGAGACGTTTCATGATCCAACTATGAGATTTGGAGTTGCCAATTGTTTGACCATTCGGACACATAATCGAGGTCCTTTTGTAGAGTAGCAGCATTGTCGGTGGTGTTGAATAGTTTGACATCATCTGCGAAGGGAACGCAGTTGCTTATAATACGATTGCAAAGGTCATTTGTGTAAAGTATAAAGAGTGTGGGTCCTAAAACGCTGCCTGCATCTTAACTGGTTCGATAGGTTTGATTTCATGAATTCATCATTATGTTTATACTTATATCGGTTGCCTATTACATGCTTGACGAAATAAATAAATAAAACAAACTAGGGAACGTAATCAGTGTTATGAGGAAGTGAGTTTTGAGGGGAGAAAGGAGGAGGAGGAGGAGGAGGAAGATGTGGGGTTCTTGGTGCTCTCTGAGCTTGGTAGTTTTCTTGAAGAAATTTCATGACCCAACTAGGTAACATCATCAGTGCTAGAAGGGGGGAGGTTGTGGAAACGAGGAGGAGGAGGAGGAGGAAGAAGAAGAAGAAGAAGAAGAAGAAGAAGAAGAAGAAGAAGAAGAAAGAAGAGGAAGAAGAGAAGAAGAAGAAGAAGAAGAAGAAGAAGAAGAAGAAGAAGAAGAAGAAGATGAGGAGGAGGAGGAAGAAGAGGAAGAAGAAGAAGTGGAAGAGGAAGAGGAAGAAAAGGAGAAGAAGAGGAGGAGGAGGAAGAAGAGGAAGAGGAAGAGGAAGAGGAAGAGGAGAAGAAGAAGAGGAGGAGGAGGAGGAAGAAGAGGAAGAGGAAGAAGAGGAGAAGAAGAGGAGGAGGAGGAAGAAGAAGAGGAAGAAGAGGAAGAGGAAGAGGAAGAAGAGGAGAAGAAGAAGAGGAGGAGGAAGAAGAGGAAGAGGAAGAAGAGAAGAAGAAGAGGAAGAGCAGGTAGAAGAAGAAGTGGGGCCCTTGGTGCTGTCTGAGCTTAGTGGCTTCCTTGCAGACATTTCATGACCCAACTAGGGAACATCTTCAATGCTGGAAGGCAGAGGGAGGTGGGTAGAGGAGGAGGAAGAGGAAGGGGCCCTTGGTGCTGTCTGAGCTGGGTGGTTTTCTTGCATATGTTTCATGACTCAACATCATCAATGCTAGAAGGGAGGGGGGTTTACAGAGAGGAGGAAAAGGAGGAGGTGGTGGTGGAGGAGGAGAAGGAGTGGGGGGGGGGATGTCTTTGGTGCTATTTGAGCTCGATGATTTTCTTGCAGACGTTTCATGACCCAAATAAAATGACATCATCTGTGGTTATCGTAGCACTGATGCTGTTCCCTAGTTGGGTCATGAAACGTCTACAAGAAAATCATCGAGCTCAGACGGCACCACAGTCCCCCAATAAGCCCAAGTCCCTTCTTTTAAGTGGCATTTTTTCCCACCTTCCCTGTTCAGCCTACAGCCCTCCAAGCACTAACCAGATCTGACCCCAAGGTGCTTTTTCAGGAGGCAACTGGACTTCCTTGTTTTTTCTTTGAAGACGTTTCGCTTCTTATCCAAGAAGCTTCCTCAGCTCTGAGCTGAAAAGAAAAACCAGAAAGTCCAGTTGTCTCTTGGGGTGGGGGGGGCACACCTTTGGGACAAACGTGACCTGGAGGACTGAGAACCTCCAGAGACATGAAGCAGAGACAATGCAAAGGGGAGTCAAACCGGTTTAGAAAGGGAGCGAAAAGGGAGTGAAGCCCAGAGTCTCACACACAGCAAGTGGAAGTGGAAATTCAAGGCCAGGGAGGGAACTGATGTGGGAACAGCTGGAAGGAATGTTTATATGGAAATGAGTTGTCAAAGACTGCAATTGAAATGAATGCAATAAATTTGAAGGTCCAGGGAAAAGAAAAATTGATTAAAGGAAGTCATAAATGTGGCGAGAAGGTTGGGAAAAGGCTGCAAGTTAGATGAGTGGAATTGGGGTAAATGATAAAATGGGGAGGTGGGTGGGTTCCTTATTGGGGAGGGTCCGTGTGATTGATTTAAGGTTGTGTCTGTGCCGCACGACAAGTAGTGTCCCATGTGTAACATTCCTGGGTCCTTTTTGGCGTGCAAAAATTTTGTTTCCGAAGCCTGCTGGGGAAAGAAAGGCCTGGCTGAATTTTGCACGAAAGGATGCTAGAGGAGGCGTATGCATTCAATAAATAAAAATTAAAAAAAGAGCATATTGAGAATTTCTGCACTGGATTTTATGCCCGAGCAGTGCAAGGCAGATTTTTTTTTTCTTTTTTTGCTGAGTTTGTTTAGCAATCTTTGGGTACAAGAAAAAAAATATATTTATGTATTTGGTGATTTGGAGAAAGCCTAGGAGAGTGTTAATAGGGTTGAATGAGGAGAAGTTTGTGATTTGATGGCAGACGGCAGTAAGTCCAGAAGAAGGGGAAAGAAAAGCAGGCATGAAAACAAACTGCAAATCATTTGACACCGGGCAAGGATTAAACAAGGCTATGTCCCCTTTTGGGATGAAATGTATGATTTTAAATTCAGAATAGAGCTGGAAGGGACCTTGGAGGTCTTCTAGTCCACCCCCTGCTCAGGCAGGAAACATTAGACCATTTCAGACAAATGGCTGTCCAGTCTCTTCTTAAAAATTCCAGTGATGGAGTGCCCACAATTTCTGGTGGCAAGCTGTTCCACTGGTTCATTGTCCTCACTGTTAGGAAGTTTCTCCTTAATTTCAAGTTGCTTCTCTCCTTGATTAGTTTCCATCTGTTGTTTCTTCTCCTGCCTTTTGGTGCTTTGGAAAATAAGTTGGTCCCCCTCCTCTTTGGGGCAGCCCCTCAAATACTGGAAGACTGTTATCATGTCCCTCCGGTCCTTCTTCTCTCTAGACTGGCCAAACCCAAATCCTGCAACCGTTCTTTGTATGTTTTAGTCTCCAGGCCTTTGATCATCCTAGTTGCTCTTCTCTGCACTTTTTCCAAAGTCTCAACCTCTTTTTTGTAATGTGGGGACGGAAACTGGATGCAGGATTCCAGGTGTGGCCTTGAGAACAGGTTATGATTGATTGGTTGATTAATATTGCTTGATTGAATTGATATGCCACCCATCTCATGCTTTGAGGTGATGCTGGGTGGTTTATAGTCTAATACAGGTAGCTCTCAACTTATTTATTTATTTTATTGGATTTCTATACCGCCCTACTCCCGAAGGACTCAGCACCCATTCATTTAGTGACCGTTTGAAGTTATGACAGCACTGAAAAAAGTGACTTAGGACTCTTTTCCCACTTATGACCGTTGCAGCATCACCCTGGTCATGTGACCAAAATTCAGACATTTGGCAACTGACCCGTATTTATGACGGTCGCAATGTCTTGGGGTCACGTGATCTCTTATTGCGATTTTCAGACAGGCAGCGTCAATGGGGAAGCCAGATTCACTTAACAACCATGGGACTCACTTAACAACTGCGCTGATTCGCTTAACATCTGTGGCACAAAAGGTCATAAAACGAGGAAGAACTCTGTTAACCCGTCTCTCCCTTAGCTATAGAAATTTGGGGGAGGCTCCATTGTGGTCATAAATCTGAGGACCTCCTGTAAAAGATACAGCAAGCTGGCTGGGGAATTCTGGGAGTTGAAGTCCTCCAAGGCTTAAAGTTGCCAAGGTTGGAGACCCCTGATATAAAGGCAGATTTAAGATGATAAAGAATGGAGAACAAACCAAGGTTAGATAAGAGTTCGAAACACGCGTGTGTTTATGTTATTATATGCAGAGAAGGACATGTTTTCGGCTGGGAACTCAAGTGATTTGTGGCCAGTGTTAGATTATATGGAGTATGGATTTAAAAATTAACGTTTCATGGACCGCGGTAATTGTGTTTGACGGAGGCTGGGGAGCGAAGGACTGTGAGTTACACACCGACGGCGGAAAACAAGAGCTGCAGATTAATTGGCCTGCCTTGATCGGATATTCCCTTCTAATTATGGGGTGAAACGGAGGGGGGACGCTTAAGAGGGGCTGGGGGCTGGTGGAGGAGGGGGTGGGCTGTTGTGAGCAGGAATGCCTATCAATGAAGCAGGAAAGGGGCTGGGGGAAAGAGGGGCTTCTACCCACTTGGTGATGCAGGTAGTCTTCGACTTACGACCACAATGGAGCCCGTTGCTAAGCGAGACAGTGCTTAACTAAAGTTTTGTCCCATTTTATGACTTTTTATGCCCTGGTTGATAAGCGAATCACTGTGGTTGTTAACTTAGTAACCTGGTTGTTAAGTGAATCGGGCTTCCCCCATTGACTTGGGGGTCGCAAAAGGGGATCCCGTGATCATTTCTGTTGCTAAACAAAGCCGCTGTTAAGTCAGTCACACCCGTTTTTGGTCTTTCTTGCCACGGTTGTTAAGTGAGTCACTGAAGTTGTTAAGTGGGTCATGCAGTCGTTAAGTGAATCCAGCTTTCCCCCATTGACTTTGGCTTGTCAGAAAGCGGCTGGGAAGGTCACAGAAGGGGACCACGTGTCCCCAGGAAGCTGTGACCGTCATAAAGAGATGCCAGTTTGGCCAAGCATCCAAATTTTGATCAAGGGACTGCAGGAGTGCTGTGACGGTCGTAAGACGAGGACCGGTCGTAAATCACTTTTGATGTGACTTCAAACAGTCACTAAACGAATGGCTGTAAGTGGAGGGCCACCTGTCGTGTGGAGAGAGAGAGAGAGAAAAGGAGCCAGTGTCAAATGAACTTACTTTTTGCACTTTCTTACTCCCTGATTTGAATTTTACAAACTTCCTGTTTCTCGTTCTTTTTCCCACGCTCTGCGTGAGGTGGCGTATCTTGAAATGGGATGTATGTTTGTGTATTTGGCCCATGCGTTTGTGAGTTTGTCCCCCGCAAACATAACTTACAAATTAAATTATACAAATTTAATTATATAAGTATAATTAAGTATAATTATTTAATTATACAAATAAAATAAATAAATGAATAAACTTCTCGAAAACCCCTTGTAGGATCTTGTGGCCTGGAGTTCCACAGGCTTCCTAGGGCAGAGGTCTTCAAACAAAGGGAGCCTTGGTAGTACAGTGGTTTAATGCACCCTGTTATTAACACAGCTGCCTGCAATTTACTGCTGGTTCGAATCTCTCCAAGGCTCAAGGTTGACTCAGCCTTCCATCCTTTCTAAGGTAGGTTAAATGAGGACCCAGTTTGTGGGGGCAATAAGCTGACTTTGTATAAATATACAAAAGGATGAAGGCTATTGCTTAGTGCACTGTAAGCCGCCCTGAGTCTCCGGAGAAGGGCGGCATATAAATCAAATTAAAAGAAAAAAAAAAAAACTTGGCAGCTTTAAGACTTGTGGAGAATTCTGGGAGTTGAAGTCCACAAATCTTAAAGCTGCCAAGTTTGAAGACCTCTGTCCTAGGGCGATATTTGCGGTCTTAACCTCTGTGTGGTGTGCGTGACTGTTACTGTTGTGTCTCTTGAACCCACAACTGCATTCTTTGGTGACCACCCCTTTTTCCCCACCTGCCTTCCTCGCAGGAACGCCACCTACTGCAGCAAAATTGCCGTCCCCTTGGAGGTGGTCCACAAAGACCCCGGCTCCTGCCTCAGCCAAGCGGTCAAGCCAGAAGAGGTCCTCATGTACTATGACAGGGTCAAACAGAACCTCACCTGCCCGGATGTGGAGAGCTTCATTCCCGCCGGCCTTGAGCCCCAGGTCCGCTGGTACAAGGTGAGTGATCTGGGGGTCCCAGAAGCATCTCGGTGTGGGAGGAGACCACCCCTCTCAGCCAGCTGGGCAGCATTTGCAAAATTGGGGGCAGGGGGGTCCAGTGAGGTGGGGGATCCTGGTGGATTGGGGTCTGCACGGATTGTTTCCCACATTTTTTCAAAAAGTCCAGAGCAACTGAGATGATTAGGGACTAGAAGCTTAAAAAATACAAAGAACGATTGCAGGAATTGGATTTGGCTAGAGAAAAGCAGGACTAGGGGGGGACATAATAGCAGTCTTCCCATATTTGAGGGGCTGCCACAAAGAAAAGGGGATCCAAAGCCCCTGAGGGCAGGACAAGAAGCAACAGAAAGAAACTAATCTAGGAGAGAAGCAACCTAGAAATTAAGAAGAAATTTCCTGACAGTGAGAACAATTAACCAGTGGACTTGCTTGCCACTAGAAATTGTGGGTGCTTCATTACTGGAGGTTTTTAAGAAGAGAGCAGACAACCACTTGTCTGGAATGGCACAGAGTCTCCTGCTTGAGCAGGGGGTTGAACTAGATCAGGAGTCTCCAATCTTGACAACTTTAAGACTTGTGGACTTCAACTCTCAGAGCTCCCACAAGTCTTAAAATTGCCAAAGTTGGAGGCTCCTGGACTAGATGACTTGTTTCTTGTCCTGCCTTCAGGGGCTTTGGAGAATAGCTTGACCCCCTTCCTCCTCTCTGTGGCAGCCCCTCAAATATTGGAAGATGCTCTCATGTCTTCCCTGGTCCTTCTCTTCACTAGACCAGCCAGGCCCAGTTCCTGCAACCGTTCATCGTATGTTTTAGCCTCCAGTCCCCTCATCCTCCTGGTTGCTCTGAATAGAATAGTATAGTAGAGTAGAGTAGAGTAGAGTAGAGTAGAGTAGAGTAGAGTAGAGTAGAGTAGAGTAGAGTTGGAAGGGACCTCAGAGGTCATCTAGTCCAACCCCCCACCCAAGCAGGAGACCCTACACCATTTCTGACAGATGGCAATCCAGTCTCTTCTTGAAGCCTCCAGTGATGAAGCTCCCACAACTTCCGAAGGCAACTTCTGTTCCATGGGTTGATTGCTCTCACTGTCAGAAAATTTCTTCTTATGTCTTGGTTGCTTCTCTTCTTGATCCGTTTCCACCCGTTGTTTCTTCTCCTGCCTTCTTTGGTGCTTTGGAAAATATCTTGGCCCCCTTCCTCCTCTCTGTGGCAGCCCCTCAAATATTGGAGCGCTGCTCTCCTGTCTCCCCCGGTCCTTCTCTTCACTAGGCCAGCCATGCCCAGTTCATGTGAAACAGTTGGCACCCCGCAACTTGTTTGAAGGGTCTGTGTAGAAAGCTGTTTATCTTTTGATCCATCCCTGCTTTCCTCCCACGAGAGAGGAGGAATTACTTCATTAGGCTGAAGGGCATCATCCATTAAAATTCAAATCTCTGCCATCTATTAGCCGAGCACAACTAAATCCCCAGTGGAAATAAATTTGCAGATGACAGCTCGTTTATCCGGCTAATAAAACTCTATCAGGAGTGGCATAAAGCCTCTTTCTCCAACGGCCCCGCAGAGACCGAGGAGGATGGGATGGGCAGCACTAGCCAGCCATCAGGGACAGCCTCAATGACAAGCATCGATCCGAGGGGCTGCCCCAAAGAAGAGAGGTCAAGCTGTTCTCCAAAGCACCAGAAGGCAGGAGAAGAAGCAACGGATGGAAACCAGTCAAGGAGAGAAGCAACCTGGAATTAAGGAGAAACTTCCTGACAGTGAGAACAATTAACCAGTGGAACAGCTTGCCACTAGAAGTTGTGGGTGCTCCATCATTGGAGGTTTTAAGAAGAGGCTGGACAGCCATTTGTCTGAAATGGCATATGGTTTCCTGCTTGAGCAAGGGGTTGGACTAGATGACCTCCAAGGTCCCTTCCAGCTCTATTTTGATTTAATCTCCAAAGTCCCTTCCAATTTTGTTATTCTGTTATTCAATGCGCAGTGTGAATATTTGAGGAGTTGTTGCCCAGGTGACTCTTTTCTCATGAAAATGTCAGAAAAGGCAGTGCAGGGAAAGAACAGTTTGGCTCTGCTGAGCTGCCAGAAATATTTTTATTTCTTTATTCATGTATCAAATAGATAGTTTTGATTTACCACACAATTGGGACCAGGATTCTCATTGTTAAACAAGGGGTTGTTAAGGAGAGATTCATATACCAATAGTTTTCAATTTACGGTCACAAATGAGCCGGAAATATCTGTTGCTAATGGCACAGTTGTTAAGCAAGACAACCACCTTTCTTAGCGATGAAAATTTTGGGCCAAGTTGTTGTCATAAATTGAGGACTACCTGTAATCTGTTTTTACACTGTTATGTAATTGCTGGGATCTGGAAGCCCTGCCTAGTTTCATGCTTCCTTCTAGCCGACATGAAGCTGATCAGAGTTTAATCCGAACAACCTTCAGGTGATGTGGGAATGTAGCCATTCAGTCTTTACCTAACCTGCTTCACCTGGTTGTCTGAATTCCATCCCAGGTTCCAGGCTGTGGCTTCGGTTTTGTAGCCAGCTGCCACTCTGAAAATTTACACACTCGTTTGCAATTCTCTCCCCATTCCAGGAGTGCCACCTGATGAAATATGAGTACCATGATCGGATCCCCAATGGCCTCAACCTCACTTTTGGCATTGTAGCAGCGTACGATGGCGAGTACACCTGCGTGGCAAGTTACCGGGAGAACAGCCGGGATTTTTCCCTGACACGGACGATGAGAGTCAGGGTGGTAGGTAAGGAGAATCTAGGACAGGGGGGTCTCCAAACTTGGCTCTTTTAAGATATGCAGACTTCAAGTCTCAGAACTCCCTGAAACTAATACATTCTTTTTTGATGTGTATCCCCATTGTGGCCTGCTTATTCTCTTGCAATCCCTTCCTCTGCAATCTCTCTTTTTTTAAAACTCGCTCTAGTGGATGAGAGAGGGGGAGAAAAACATCAGGCATAGTTAGCTAAGGAATTCTGGGAGCTGAACTCCACCCATCTTCAAGAGGCCAAGTTGGAGACACCGGATCCAGGGGAAAGGCAAAGGGGTAAAGTGGGGGTCAGGGGCCACTGCCTAAGGCTCAGCCTTATTTATTATTATTTATTTATTAGTTCGATTTATATGCTGCTCTTCTCCGGAGACTCAGGGCGACTTACAATGCTTTTAAGCAATAGCCTTCATACTTTTGTATATACCTGCTTAGTAGGGCTTTGCCCCCCCCCCCAAGCGGTGTTCTTTTTTTATACAAAGTCAGTTTATTGCCCCCACAATCCGGGTCCTCATTTTACCTACCTCGAAAGGATGGAAGGCTGAGTCAACCTTGAGCCTGGTGAGATTTGAACTCGCAGTAATTGCAGGCAGCTGGCAGCTAAATACTACTTTAACAGTAGTTTAGTCCACTGCACCACCAGGCGCCTTGCCATCCTCAGCTTCTCTCCAGCCTGAGAGTGAGAGGCCGGGGTTCCCACAACCTGACCGTCAGAAGCAAATAACAGAATAACAGTTTTGGAAGGGGCCTTAGAGGTCTTCTAGTCCAACCCCCTGCTCAAGCAGCAGACCCTATACCATTTCAGACAAATGGCTGTCCAATCTCTTCTTAAAAACCTTCCACAACTTCTGGAGGCAGGTTCTTGGTCTTTCTCCTTTAATTTTTATTCATTTATTAATTTTTCATGCCACCCATCCCCCCCATCATGTGATTCTGGGAAGCTTTAAATGTCTCTTCTGGCACAAGAATTTGCTTATTCTTAACCCGCTTTTGGGTTGGATTAGAAGATCTCCAACATCCATAATTTGGGGCAGTAGGTTGGACTAGAAGACCTCTAAGGTCCCTTCCAACTCTTGTTATTCTGCTCTTCGTGCTTAAGGCAGGACTAGAACTCATGACCTCCTGCCTTCTCATCTAGCGCTTTAAGAACTGGGAGAAGAAAACTCTTTGCCTTTTATGGGCTGAAGCGGGTGGGGAAACTGGGATTTACTGGTGACCCATAAACCAGGATCTTGAACCATGACCGATGTCCCAATCTTGCTAAAAGTGTGAAAACAGCGCTTGTGTATTCCTGGCTGTGGAGTTTGCCTGCTTGCCTTCTTGGCAGGTTCAAAGTACTGTGTTCTAATCGGTATCATTTGCTGGAATGATTTGCAAAGATGCTGGCTTTATTATTGCATTAGAGCAGTGTTTCTCAACCTTGGAAGCTTGAAGATGGGTGGACTTCAACTCCCAGAATCCCCCAGCCAGCGCTGCTGGCTGGGGGATTCTGGGAGTTGAAGTCCACCCATCTTCAAGCTACCAAGGTTGAGAAACACTACATTAGAGGTTGTCCCAAAGGTGCTTTTTCCAAGAGGCAACTGGACTTTCTTGTTTTTTTCTTTTGAAGAGGTTTCGCTTCTCCTCCCAGAAGCTCCTTCAACTCTGACTGGATGGTGGGGAAGGGAAGGATTGATACTCCTTGCAGACAGCTGGTCATTTGCATCCTTTGAGAGGGTCATTGAGGCCACTTGGAGGTTTATCTGTGTCCTCCTTTTAGCTATACAATTTGGGATGAAGCCCCTTTGAATGGTGTGGGAGGAGGAATGGATTTCCAGAGGAAAAAAATTGCAGACCACAGGAATCATTTGCACCACTCAGGTGACCCTGAGGACACAGAGAAAACCTCCAACGACCCTCTGAAAGGATGCAAGTGACCAGCTGTCTGCAAGGAAGATAAATCCTTCCATTCTCCCACCATCCAGTCAGAGCTGAAGAAGCTTCTGGGAGGAGAAGCGAAACCTCTTCAAAAGAAAAACCAGAAAGTCCAGTTGCCTCCAGAAAAAGCACATTTGGGACAACCGTTACCTGGATGACTGAGAATCTCTACAGACCATTGGGGGGGTGTTGGACATCACATCTCGAGAAATTAAACTTTCACCTCATCTGGGCAAAGCAGACAGTCTCAGCAACATGGGCCTTCTTATTGTCAAGTTTCCGAAAGATGCCCTAATTAATTCATGAGCCATGATCCAAACTTCAAAGGAAATATAGTCTTTTATTAGGAGCAACATTCCGGCAATACTCGGATGCAGTTAGGACTGATCCCACATAGATTTACGTTCCCCTATGACCCTGTCTCTCCCCTCCTCTCTGGCCATGTTCATATATCACATTCTCCAATTAAGCACTTTGGCTGGCTGTGAAATCCAACACCCTCCTTCTGATTGCGGTCAGGAAGAATGTATGGAATGCACTTCAGTTAGGGAAATCAATCAGCTCTATCAGTTCTCCCTCCCTCCTGCTCATGGCAACTTGAAAGCTTTGCAAGTTGACAGTTATCCTGATGGGTGATAGATCCCCTACATTTTTTTTGCAGGAACACAATCCATTGTGAGTCCCCCAAAACGCACCGGGTAAAACCTCAATGTTGCTTCCTCTGCTTTCAAATCCTGATTCGGTTCGATGTGGGCTAAGCTTTCCTTGCCAGCCTCTCTTGCCAGCCTGCTTCCCCAACCTGGTGCCTTCTAGCAGCTCCTTCACATCTGGAGCCTCTCAGCTGGCAGTAAAAAAAATTTGCTGGCGTCTGGGGGTGTCGTGGCAACTTTGCATCCTTCGAGGGCTGGTTGCTAAGCTGCCCTGCAGAAATATTTAGCACTTTAAAGAGCTCAGCCCGGATATGCAAATCCAGCCCCCTTTATAGGGATGCTTACAAAACAAGGATTTTTTTTTTAAAAAAAATTATTTTTATAACCGCATGAATTAGAGAGGCGTCTTGTCTGAGACATTTGCACACATGTTCTCAGACTTCATCTACATTTCCCGTCTCATCTCTTTGGTAACGGTTCGCCCTGCTCTTCCTCAAGGCCATCCGCTCCCTTCTCTGCCCCTTGGGTGCCAATCAGCCAATCAAAGAGCTGGCAGGCAACTCTCAACCTTAGGAAATCTGACGTCTGACATTCCACAGAGGTGCTGGGACCCTGCTTTGATTTTTCTACAAGTAGGTTCCCCGTAGTAACAAAGATGCACAGCCTGGAGCAACCTCGGGGTTCTTGAGTTTTGAACAGTTCTTATCCTCTTTGGACTTGTGTTGTGTAGAAGTTTACTACAGTTGTGTAGAAGGTGCTGAGAAGGTGCCAAGGAAGGAGAACGTGGCTGGACATGGTCCTTCCAGAGGTGAATCAGTTGAGTTGAGGTGTAGGGTTTCTGATCTGTGACTACAATTTCTGGGGTTCGGTCTGAAGCTATGGATGCCCCCAGAATACAGTGAACAGAGATATGGAAAGATGTGTATCCCATATTATAACCTATCCGGTATCCAGATGTGTTCAACCACTGGATTGTTCCTCAAGATTGGGCTGCTTGAAAATAGGTGGACTTCCACTCCCAGAATTCCCCAGTTGGCCATGCCCGTTTTTTTTTCTCCTATCCTCTAGAGATTGCAGAGGAAGGGATGATAAGAGAGTAAGTAGGCCACAATAGGAATTACACCAAAAGGAATGCATTTGTGCCAGGGAATTCTGGGAGTGGAAGTCCACCGACCTTCAAGCCACTAAGCTTGAGAGACACACTGTCCTAAGGATTAAAATATAGAAGCCCCCAAAGGAAACCGAGGAGGTGCAGAGGGAGAAGTGCAGAGTTCAAAGCACTTCCAGACAGATGTTGGGGATGAGAGGCAATGCAGTCCAGGGAAGAGAGAGAAAGGATTGGAGGTATGAAAGAGAAGAAATAGCCAAAAGGAGAAGGAGAAGGAGAAGAGGTGGTAGCAGAAATGAAGGAATGCAAAGCACATACTGGGAAAAACCACCCCGTACAGCAGAGAGATTGCAGAGGAAGGGATCACAAGAGGAGTATACATATCAAAAGGAATGCATGAGTGCCAGGAAATTCTGGGAGGTGAAGCCTACCCATCTTCAAGCTGCCAAGGTTGGGAAACAGATAATGAAGCCTACAGAAAGAAATGAATTCCAGCCACCTCTTCGCTGACTTTTATTTTTTTTAACTCTGTTTGTAGGAGCACCAGAAAAATCAACGCCTCCAGTGATAATCTCACCAACAAAGCGGATTGTCTATGAACTCAAGCCAGGTAATGGTCCAGCCATGGACACCTGTTCATCAGATCCTAATTCAATTCAGTTTCAATTCAGAATAGGGTTAGGGTTCCCCTCCCAAGCGGGAGACCCTACACCATTTCAGACAGATGGCAGTCCAGTCTTCTTCTTGAACGCTTCCAGTGATGAAGCTCCTACAACTTCTGAAGCTCCCACGACCTTCATCTCCAGGAACTTCTGAAGCTGATGGTTCAGCAAACTCCCTTCGTTTGGGTTGCCTGGCTTGGGAATTGGATGGGGAGGGTGGATGGGGTCATCCCAACCTCCTTGGGGATGCCAGGCTGGTCCCGGAGGACCCCTTTCAGAAGACGGTTCTGCTTCTGGGTGGACCTTACGAGAGATAACCTTCCTGTTCTTTCTCATGCCAGGCGAACAACTCTTTCTCCATTGCGAGGTCACCTTCACGTTCCTGAAGGACTCTCCCCAGGAGGTCTGGTGGGCCATTGATGGAAAACACTCGGATGATGTCGCCGACTTCAAGTTCAACGTGTCCACCATGTAAGAGACCAGGGCTGTCCGGTGGACTCAACGGGGAAGGTCATGGTTTCTCTAGACAGAGAGGGTGAGGTGGTGGAGAGTAGGTGGGAGGTAGAGCTGAAACTGGAGAGATGGATGGGTCTCTTGGCCCAAGGTCACCCAGCTGGCTTTCATGCCTAAGGCAGGACTAGAACTCACTGTCACCTGGTGATTGGTCAAAAGTCAGCCAGAAGGCTTCTATGCCTAAAGTGGGACTAGAACTCCCTATCTCCTGCTTTCTAGCCTGGTACCTTAACCCTTAACTTCTAGTCCAACTCCCAGCTCAAGCAGAAACGCTAAAGCATTTCACCCAAATAGCTGTCCTGTCCTGTCTTTTCTTAAAAAAACCTCCCGTGACTTTTTGTGGCAAGCTGTTCCACTGATTAATTGTTCTCACCATCAGGAAATTCCTCCTTGGTTCCAAGTTGCTTCTGTCCTTGATCGTTTTCCACCCGTTGCTTCTTCTCCTGCCCTCAGGGGCTTTGGAGAATTGGTCCAATTGGAGCATTGGTTGATTTCTTGGGGTGCTTGTGTGTCTGCTTTGATTCCACTGTGGTGGGACGCTTCCCTGCTCCATTGAGGCAGGAGGAATCACACAGACACAATCTCTTCCTTCCAGCGTAGGTCCCCCAACACACACTTGTGGCAGCCCCTCAAATACTGGAGGACTGCTATCATGTCCCTCCTAGTCCTTCCTTTCTCTAGACTGGCCAAACCTAAATCCTGCAACCGTTCTTCCAGGGGTGAAATCCGGCAGGTTCTGACAGGTTCTGGAGAACCGGTAGCGGAAATTTTGAGTAGTTCAGAGAACCAAGCAAATACCACCTTTGGCTGGCCCCAGAGTGCGGTGGGAATGGAGATTTTGCAATATCCTTCCCCTGCCACGCCCACAAAGCCACGCCCACAGAACCGGTAGTAAAAAAAATTGGATTTCACCACTGCTTTCTTCATATGTTTTAATCTCCAGGCCTTTAAACCTCTTAGTTGTTCTTCTCTGCACTTTTTCCAAAGTCTCAACTTCTTTTTTTGGAAAGTGGTGACCAAAACTGGATGCCGGATTCCAGGTGTGGTCTTGTCAACAGGTTACGATTGATTGATTGATTGATTATTGATTGAGAAAGCCTAGGAGAGTTTTAATAGGGTTGAATGATGAGAAGTTTGGGATTTGATGGCAGACGGCAGTAAGTCCAGAAGAAGGGGAAAGAAAAGCAGGCATGAAAACAAATTGCAAATCATTTCACACCGGGCAAGGATTAAACAAGGCTGTGTCCCATTTTGGGATGAAATCTATGATTTTAAATTCAGAATAGAGCCAGAAGGGACCTTGGAGGTCTTCTAGTCCACCCCCCTGCTCAGGCAGGAGACCCTAGACCATTTCAGACAAATGGCTGTCCAGTCTCTTCTTAAAAAATTCCAGTGTTGGAGCACTCACAACTTCTTGTGGCAAGCTGTTCCGCTGGTTAATTTTTCCCACTGTCAGGAAATTTCTCCTTAATTTCAAGTTGCTTCTCTCCTTGATTAGTTTCCATCCGTTGTTTCTTGTCCTGCCCTCAGGTGCTTTGGAAAATAGGTTGACCCCCCTCTTCTTTGGGGCAGCCCCTCCAATACTGGACTGCTGCTGTCATGTCCCTCCTAGTCCTCCTTTTCTCTAGACTGGCCAGACCCAAATCCTGCGACCGTTTTTTGTATATTTTAGTTCTCCAGGCTTTTAATCCTCTTACTTGCTCTTCTCTGCCCTCTTTCTACTTCCGTTTTCTTTCTCTCCTGGACCTTCTCTAGGGAGACCCCATTATCAATCGGAGGGACCAAGATCGAAAAGACCCTGATTGCGCCCCGCGTGACGGAGAAGGATTTGAAACGGAATTTCACGTGCTTCGCGCAGAACAACCGAGGCATTGTGCACACCCAGGCGGTCGTGAAGATGAAACGTAAGGGAGCCCTAGGGGCTGGAAGGGAGCTTGGAGGTCTTCTAGTCCATCCCACTGCTCAAAGCAGGCTTCTCATACCGTCCCAATCAGTCTGTTTTTGAAAGCCTCCAGTGATTTTCCAAAATAGACTGCTAGGTGGGCTGCCCTTCCCAGAGAGAGGAGACGCCCCAGGAAGCCAGATCAGGATGCAGCCCCCTCCCCTATTTGTCCAGCCTTTGCTGAGTGCCTTGAGATCTGTTACGTTTCTACTTTATCATGTTCTTTTAACAATCCCATAATCCTTTGCGGGGTGGAGTCTGGGCAACTTAATGGCGCTAGCCGAGTGTTTTAATGGCCGGATGCCCTTCCCGTCACCAATGCGGAGGTTTGTTCAGCAGATAATATTCTCAGAGTGCCCAGAGAGAGAAATATCAGCCTCTACCTAGGATCGAACTCAAAGCCTCCTGATCGTGAGGCAAGAGCTCTACCTCTAGGCCACTGCACCACTCTTACATTTCTACGTTATGTTGACTATGAATTATGAGATCCGAAGCCAACACACCTGGCTAGTGCCATTTGGGGAATCTTGTCCCTGCATCCGAACTTTTTTTGCATATGTCTATCAAGAGTTCCACGGCCACATTTGCAATAAGGACGATTATTGGAAAAGGGGAAAAAATTAGGTCTTTAAAGGGTTTGTGCCTTGCTCAGAGAAGTCCGCAAATTTAAAGAAATAAATTTCAGATAACCATAATCTTACTGTGGTTGGCAGAATGCCCAGAAGCAATTTGCAGGAAAACTGACAAGAAAGGAGCAAGAGCCGATCAGTTTCTGGAATCAAGACGCAAAGGAATATGAACGAAGTTGTTTCCTGCAAATTGCTTCAGTCGGTGTCCCTCCTTAAATAGGCTAAGGGAGTGGCCAATTAGCCCCAAGCCTTACTGTCAAGGAGACCTCCTCCTGAGGAGCCACTCCTGCCTTTTCGCACCTCTGCGCGCTCATGCATCGAGAAGAGACTCCTCCTCTTCTTCCTCTTCACTTATGGGAGCTTCTGGAGGTTCTGAAGGCCCTGGCTGAATGCCCCACATCTTCTCCAGCCTCCTCATTGTCCGACTCGAGTGCCAGCTGCACAGGCTGCTGGCGAATCACCACACCAGCCTCCTCGCTATCGGAATTAGCTACTAGCTGCACAGGCCACTGACGGACCACAACAGGCAGCTTTAAGACTTGTGGACTTCAATTCCCAGAATTCTCCAGCCTGCTGGCTGGGGAATTCTGGGAGTTGAAGTCCACAAATCTTAAAGCTGCCAAGTTTGGGGACCCCTGGTTTAGATGTTTTACCTCGGATCCTATGGAATTTCAGAAGCAGGAGACACGTTCCTGCAGATGTTCCTTCAAGGTGATGAGCTTCTGAACCAGCTCCGGGAACGGATCCCAGGTGATGTGCGCCAGGAGGGATTTTGGGTGGAATTAAGTAGAAGTTTAGATGTCCTTTCCCCCTACCCCCCCCCCCAACATTCATCTCCTCTTTGGGGGCAGGTTCGTCCTCCAGGGAAAGTATGAAAAGTCAGGGTATATCTGGGGTGCTTCTGATCTTCTAGAAACGGCCATCCTCAGTGCGTTTCCCTTTCGTTGTGAAAATAACAACAAGATCCTAGGATGCTGGCAGGAAACCATATCAACCATTAGCACCAGTCAATCGTATTTGTGACACGTTTTTAAATGTTCAGTTGACTGAGTTTCATGTTCAATGAATAAAAGAGATGATGATGATGATGATGATGATGATGATGATGATGATGATGATGATAATAATAATAATAATAATAATAATAATAATAATAATAATAATATTCTCCTCCTTCTCTTTCTCCTTCCCCTTCTTCTCCTCCTCCACCTTCCTCCTCCTCCTCCATACCTCTTCTTCCTCTTCCTCCTTTTCCTCTCCTTCCTCCTCCTCCTCCTCCTCCTCCTCTCCTTCCTCCTCCTCCTCTTCCTCTTCCCTTCAGCCCCCGTTTTGAGATACACCGTGGAGCTGGCCTGTGGTCTGGGGGCCACCGTGCTGCTGGTGGTCATGCTGACGGTCATTTACCACTTCTACTGGCTGGAAATGGTCCTCTTCTACCGTGCTCACTTTGGGACTGACGAAACCGTCCTTGGTAAGGGAGCCTCAGCCTCCGGCCTGTGACCTTCATCTTCCTCTCTTGGGTCTTCAACAGGGCTCTTGACTTTTTCCCCTCCTGCCTTGTGCTTGGCCCACTGCCGCGTCCCCTTGTCCCTTCAGTCAGATGTCTAATACTCTTCCCTCCTCCTCCTTCTATTTTCCCTGCAACAACAACCCTGTGAGGTGGGCTGGGCTGAGAGACAGAGATTGGCCCAAATGTCACCCAGCCGCCTTTCAGGCCTAATGCGGGACTTGAACTCACGCTCGTTTGCAGTGTCCTATGGTTTAAAAAACAAACAAACTGGGAGGCTTTTTAAGAAGAGATTGGGCAGCCACTTGTCTGAGATGGCATAGGGCCCTCCTGATTGAGCCGGGGGTTGGACTAGAAGACCTCCAAGGTCCCTTCCAACTCCGTTATTCTATATTCTGAGCAACAGGTCAGACTAGAAGACCTCTGAGGTCCCTTCCAACTCAGTTATTCTATAATCCTGATTTGCAACCCAGGGATGCAGACTTAATAAGTGGCCAAGCAAAGTCGGAAGACCCCAGAGACAGCGGTTGCCCCTAACTCTTTCTGCTTTTCTCCCTCTCTCTCTCTCTCTCCCTGCGGCCACCAGACGGGAAGGAATACGATATTTACGTCTCCTATGCCAGGAATATGGAAGAAGAGGACTTCGTGTTGCTGACTCTCAGGGGCGTTTTGGAGAACGAATACGGCTATAAGCTGTGCATTTTCGACCGAGACAGTCTCCCCGGGGGAAGTGAGTATCCCAAAACCCCTAATCCACTCTCTGGAGGGGGTCAGGCTGGGCTGCCTCCCTCTTCCTCTCTGATTCCTGCACACACCCCATGTGCATGCACAGCTGTGGCTGATGGGGCCAGAGAAGAAGCCCAGTGCAACCCCTTCCAGGAAGGGAATTGTTGGCTCTGCAAGGAAATTCAGTTGGAGTGAAAGGATATTTTTATTTTTTTTTAGATGGCAGCTGTGGCTCTTTCCCCAACAGAGGGGCTTTTGATCACTCGGGCTTCCTCCCTCCCCCCTCCCCTCCCTGGCAGGAGAGCTGAGGACACGAGGGTTTTTTGCAAAGATAGCTTAGGCCAAACGGGAAAGGAGGGTGGGGGAATTCAGTGCAAACTGTAGCTCTGATTTTGGGGGGATAAGGAAACGAGGAGACTGAGCCCTAAACCCTAAAAAAGGCACAGCAGTTTTGAAAGAAAGGGAGTTTGACCTGGTGCCTAAGGAAAAATGGGAAGCTTCGCTGATGTTTATTCTGCACTACTGCCAATTCTTCTTTCGTCTCCTAAATTATTCCTTGTCAGCCACAGATGCCAAAAGTTGCCCACATTTGGCTTAAAGTACTGTTATTCAACCGCAGGAACTTTAAGACGGGAGGACTTCAACTCCCCGAATTCCCCAGTCAGCCATGCTTGTATTTTTTCCCCCCTCCTATCGCCTAGAGCAGAGAGATTGCAGAGGAAGGGATTAAAAGAGAGTATGCAGGACACAATGGGGATATGCATCAAAAGGAGTGCATTGGTGCCGGGGAATTCGGGGTGTTGAAGTCCACGCATGTTGGGCTTGGGGATTCTGGGTTTCACACATGCTGGCTGGGGAATTATGGGTGTTGGAGTTCTCCCAACTTAAAGTTCCTGAGGTCGAGAAACACTGACTTAAAGTATAGCAACTTCATTGTGGACTTTGCTTTAATTGTCCAACATACTTTTTCCAGTTTATGCTGCAGGCGAATGGTGTGACTGAAGGAAACAGGAAACCCATTTGGGTCCAGACTCCAGATGTACAGATTTCCTGAGTTGGGGTGTTGTTCCCTACAGCTCTATGCTCAGAGGAGTTCCGGGGGTGCACTAAATTCAGAACTACCAAACTTTAAGTGATGCTTCCCCAGCTCTGTGTCTAAACCTAACAACCTAGATTAAGAGCGCAGGGTAGATTTGGGAATTCTAGAAAAGCTTCCTCAAGCGGAAGTCCATTGGGACACTGACTCCCATGGTTCCCAGCAGCAGAGACCAACAGTTGGACTGAATCGTACCAGAGTTAGCAGCACCAAGCACATCTGGACAGGAGTTCTCCTGGCAATATTTTAACATTTCTGCCAATATTCATTATATTTTAGCACAGAGGTCTTCAAACTTGGCAGCTTTTAAGACTTGTGGACTTCAACTCCCAGAATTCTCCAGTTGACTTTGATTTGATGGCACATAATGAATTGATCCATCAGTCAGTGCAAAGACCCAGTTCCTTTCGAAGTCTTTCTCTCAGGAACTGAGAGGAGAACCAGGTTAAGAACCTAGAACTTTTCACCCTGGAGAAGATCTATCCTTGTGGCTGCTAAAAGTCAACATTGACTTGATAGTACATAATCAAAAAACCTTCAGAATACAAAATCAATGACTTGGAAGGGACCTTGGAGGTCTTCTAGTCCAACCCCCTACTCCAGCAGGAGACCCTAGACCAGAGGACCAGAGCTATGCTGGCTGGAGAATTCTGGGAGTTGAAGTCCACAAGTCTTAAAGCTGCCACGTTTGAAGACCTCTGTTTTAGCATGTTATGCAGGGTTGACCGCTTTTAAATGAGTCCATATAGGAGGGGATCCCCCCCCCCAAAAAAATCAGAATGCCAACTGCATAATTGAAGCCTCAACCCTTTTTAACGTGAGTAAAAGGGCTGCCATCTTGACTTTTTTGACCTCCCTGAGGATTCTCCTAAAGTCATTGGAAAGAGTTGAGGGGAAATTGTAGCGGGCAAAGACGGCACCATGGAGAGGAGAATAGCTTGAGGAAAGGAGAAGAGCTAGGGGGGAACGCAGCCGTCTTTTGCTGCGTGGATCTGGTGGTGGGTCTGAAGGAAGCTGGTCATGGAAGGGAGAAGCTAAGATGGTAGGTCAGGAGGTCTCTGGTGTCGGTCTTTCTCTCAACCTCTCTTGAAGAGGGTTGAAACTTGGGCTGCTCATCTGGGCATGTAGAGTCAAGGTCATCCTGTTCCATGCCCACCTACATTAGAGCAGCCCAGTTGAGGGGAAGCCACCAGAGATATAAGTCTATAGAGATTCTCAGTCATCCAGGTCACGATTGTCCCAAAGGCGCTTTTTCAGAAGGCACCTGGACTTTTTTCCTTTGGGAGACGTTTCGCTTCTCATCCAAGAAGCTTCTTCATCACTGGAAGCTTTCAAGACAAGACTGGACTGCCCTCTGTCAAAAATGGTGTAGGGTCTGCTGCGTGGTGGTGGGGTTGGACTAGATGACCTACAAGGTCCCTTCCAACTCTGTTAATCTGCATCTCTGCCAGGATAGTGGGGAATGGTTTATATAGGAAGCTTCTTGGATGAGAAGCGAAATGTCTTCAAACGTCCTGAAAAAGCTCCTTTGGGACTCTCCTCAATTAGGAATAATGGCTCTGACTCTAGCAGTTGTTCCAACGTACAAAACAGTCTGGGCTTTTTCTGGCCTGGCCCTGTGTCCCAGTTGGACCTCTTTGATCCAAACTGGGAAGGCAACAGGAAAACTAGACTGTTGCAGAGTCGCCAGAGCAGGTGCCAGGAGGAAAAGGGAGATGATGCTGGTCTCCACAGGAGTATAAGACCCTGGTAAGGCCACACTTGGAATCCTGCAGCCAGTTTTAGTTGCCACGATGTAAAAAAGAGGTTGAGACTCTAGAAAGAGGGCAGAGAAGAGCCACAAAGAGGATTAGGGGACTGGAGGCTGAAACATATGAAAAATGGTTGCAAGAACTGAATATGTCTAGTTTAATGAAGAGAAGGACTAAGGGGAGACAGGATAGCAGTGTTTCAATATCTCAGGGGCTGCCATAAAGAAGAGGCAGTCAAGCTATTCTCCAAAGCACCTGAAGGCAGGACAAGAAGCAACAGGTGGAAACTAATCAAGGAGAGAAGCAACCTAGAACTAAGGAGAAATTTCCTGACAGTTAGAACAATTAATCAGTGGAACAGCTTGCCACCAGAAGTTGTGAATGCTCCAACACTGGAAGTTTTTAGGAAGATGTTGGATAACCATTTGTCTGAAATGGTATAGGGGTTTCCTGCCTAAGCAGGGGGTTGGACTAGAAGACCTCCAAGGTCCCTTCCAACTCTGTTATTCTATTCTATTCTATTCTATTCTATTCTATTCTATTCTATTCTATTCTATTCTATTCTATTCTATTCTACTCTACTCTACTCTACTCTACTCTACTCTACTCTACTCTACTCTATTCTATTCTATTCTATTCTATTCTATTCTATTCTATTCTATTCCTGCCCTCTCCTCTCCTCTCCTCTCCTCTCCTCTCCTCTCCTCTCCTCTTCTTCAGGGCAGATCCTGGCTCTCCTCCATACCGACCTTGTTCTCTTGAGGGCCAGGATCTTGAGAAGGTAACGTTTGAGGAGGGAGACCTGTGGCATCTCCTGCTGACTCCGTGAACTTCTCCTTGCTCCCAGCTGTGGGAAGGTTCTCGAACGCCGGTCCCTAACCTGCCTGTTTTCTCTCTCAGTTGTCACGGATGAAACTCTGAGCTTCATCCAGAGAAGCCGCCGTCTCTTGGTAGTCCTGAGTCCCAACTACGTCCTGCGGGGCACCCAGGCTTTGCTGGAGTTCAAGGCTGGCCTGGAGAACATGGCTTCCAAGGGCACCATCAAGGTCATCCTTGTCCAGTACAAGCCCATCAAGAAGAGCAAAGTGAAGGAGCTCCGGCAAGCCAAGACGGCGCTGACCGTCATTAAGTGGAAAGGGGAGAAGTCCCGTTATCCCACGGGAAGGTTTTGGAAGGAGCTGTTGGTCGAATTGCCGGTGAAGAGCAGAACCAAGAACTTTTCAGCGCAACAAGATCTCATCATCCTTTCGCCAAAAGGCATCTAAGGAAAGGGGAGGCCAGGAACCCAGAGCTGGGCTCGGGAGGAGAGCAGTGGGCTTGTTTTGGGGAGTCTCTGGCAATCCACGTTCCACCTCTGGCGTGGCGTGGACAGAGGCACCCACCCGAACTGGCCCTATTTTTAAGGTGCCCCATCTGCATTGGAAACCGAGCTGTCCATCCCGTCTCCTGAAAATTGCACCACTTGGCTTGCAGGAGGCTGAGGCAAGGCGTGCAATCTGGGACACCTGTGAGATTGTAGTAAGGATGCACCGTAGTGTCATTTGTTCCCCTTTCACACTTTCGTGGTGTCCCTCAAATTCTTCGTCCAGAGACGGAAGAACAGAAGTCCACCTGAAGGCCTTTTCATCTCGGTCCAAAGGGGTCAGTGGAGAAGGCAGGGGCTCTCTTCCTTTGGACACGAAAGCAGCTCTCCAAAGTTGCCCCCAATGGCCAGAGCGGCCTTCCTCCACCTGAGCTTTTCCAGGTGTGTCGCGTTTCCGTTCCCACAACCGTCCGTTGATGCAAACTTTCCAATCCAGACATGTTCAGGATTCCGGGCTGGAGACGGGAAACGCTGGCTGGCTTTTGGCCTCCCTTGGCAAAAAAATCTCACAATGGCCTGTTGTACTCGGTGTGCATTGCGATGATTCTTGTGCTGAGTGCAGGAAAATGTGGGGCAGCCCCTTCGCTCTCTAAACCAGCCTGTTGAGGAAGGGGAGATTTGGGGATTATTGACCCCCCCTCCCCATAATCCCAGAGCTCCTGTGGGTAACTGCTAGGATGAGAGGGACTTTTTACTGGAGGGGCTTAACAGCAGTGAATCTTGAAAGATCCCCAAGCAGACAGTTGTAAGTCAAGCAGTGGGAATGCAGGAGTAGTAGAGTATTAGTAGGGAGGGGGAGGAGGAAGAGGAGGACGAGTGGAATCTGGAATGTCACATTTCTTCTAGGATGAGATCTTCCTTTTTTTTCATCAAGATGGAGGCATCAAGTCCAGAATATTTTCCCAGTTATGGATGATGCACAAAATGGATCTCTTCCTAAACTTTTTTTTTTTTTACATTTTTCATGAAAGCATTTAATATTTAAACACAAAAACAACATTTTGAATTGCTCAAGATCCTTTGAAGGACAGAACAGGGGCTCTTTTTCCATTAGAGATGAAAGCAGCTCTCCAAAATTGTCCCAAACGGCCAGAGGGGCCTCCTTGGGACGGACGGTGGTGCCTTGTTGGAAGCGCTGTTGGTTTGATTTCTGAGTTGGCACAATGCCATTTTTCAGAGGTCGGTAAATGTCAGAAGGGCCAGTCCTGCTCCCAAGCTGGAGCTCTGAGCTTCTGGCCTGGTCGCATCCGAGCTTGGTCAAGATTCAGTGGCTGCACTCAGGAGTGGTGGGCGAAGATTTATCGGTAGCCGAGCAAGGAGGCTGGAGGGGTAAATCCCCATGCAGAATGTCAAAAATTATTATTATTTTTTTGTCTTTTGTTCTGCTAACTCCTGGTCTCTGTATTATAGTATTACCGGGTTAGCTATGGGATGGTGGCAGATCTGGACACTCAGCGGAGTGTGTGTGAGTTTTTGTGCAAGAGAGAGAGAATGAGAGAGAGAATGAGAGAGAGGGAGAAAGAGAGAAAGAGAGAGAGAATGAGAGAGAGGGGAAAGAGAAAGAGAGAGAAAAAGAGAGAGAATGAGAGAGAGGGAGAATGAGAGAATGAGAGAGAGGGAGAGGGAGAAAGAGAATGAGAGAGAGGGAGAGAGAAAGGGAGAGAGAGAGAATGAGAGAGAAAGAGAAAGAGAGGGGGGAAGAGAAAGAGAGAGAATGAGAGAGAGAATGAGGGGGAAGAGAGGGGGGAGAATGAGAGAATGAGAGAGAGGGAGAGAGAGAAAGAGGGAGAGAGAGAGAATGAGAGAGAGGGAGAGGGAGAATGAGAGAGAATGAGAGAGAGGGAGAGGGAGAAAGAGAAGGAGAGAGAAAAAGAGAGAGAAAGAGAATGAGAGAGGGGGAAAGAGAGAAAGAGAGAGAAAGAGAGAGAGAATGAAAGAGAGGGGGGAGAAAGAGAGAATGAGAGAGGTAGAGGGAGAAAGAGAGAATGAGAGAGAGGGAGAGAGAGAAAGAGGGAGAGAGAGAAAGAGAATGAGAGAGAGAGATGACAACCCAAAGGGCTTATTTAGTTCACTGGTGTTCTCTATCAACTTAATCCCCTCCTGTTGCCAGCCCCAAAGATTGTTGGGGTGGGTGGTTAGAGGTGGAAGCCAGGCAGGAAATCCTGTGAATCTCATTCAGATGTGAAAATCAATGAGGATCAACAGGCTTTAGGGCTATCTGAACCACGGTGCTCTCCAAGTGATGGTGATTTTATTGCAGACGTTTCATGATCCAACTAGGGAACATCATCAGTGCTAGAAGGGAGAAGGGGTTGCAGAGAGGAGGAGGAGGAGGGAAAGAACTGGTACTCTCTGAATTTACTCGTTTGCTTGCAGACATTTCATGACCCAACTAGGGAACGTCATCAGTGCTAGAAGGGAGAAGGGGGTTTGCTCCCTACTTATACACCGTAGTCTTCTCTGCCAGTGTTGACGGGAGTGTAGTTTCCCCCTTGGTAGCTCCTTGGTGTTTTCTGCTTTTATTGTTCCACTGGTCTAATTCCCTGCTTATTCCTTGAAGATGTTACCTAATTGGGTGATGAGATGCCTGCAAGAAAACAAGCACAGAGAGTACCACAGGTCTCTTCCTCCATGTTTACACACAACTTTTATTTATGATAGTTTTTATTCGTGACAAATCTGGGGAGGGACTATTATTTCTTATCCTCCCGAATCCTCCCCTTCCCATTTGGATGTGGCCTTTGCACTGAGCTTTATCATCCTGCCTTATTTATTCTCTTTTTTTAATGATTATTATTATAACGGATTGACACACAAAGGCCTGCTTGCAAATTCTTTCTCAGTTAGTGGCGAGAGGCCCTTTGGGAGGACGGTCTGCAGGTGTTTGGGCAGGCGGACCTCCCAGGGGCTAAGTCCATGCTGTCCAGCTGTCCAAAAGTCAAATCAACCTTGCAAAGAGAGACCACTTTTAAATCCCAGATTTGCCTTCTTACAACAGACCTAACCTAGATGTTAAATTCACCCATTTCTCTGGCTAATCTGGCAATAAATTAACCTCTTGTCTCAGAAGCCAATCAAATGGGCTGGGTTTGATTAAGAGGCTAACTCCTCATAAAACACCACCACCAAATTGCCGAAGTTGGAGCTGCATCTGGCGAGAGGAGGGGAGGTCAGCAAGGGGGGGGGGGTTGTCAGCCTTTCACCTGCGTCACCATTTTACCTTTTATCAAAACATTTATCCGGGTGATAAAGCAGCATCTGTTTTGGTCAGCATGGCATAGCATGAATTGTTCTGGCTTCCTTCTATAATTTTAAGTCTTAACATTTTGGTTTTTATACATACTGTTTATATATTTTAATGTTTTATTATATCATGGCCTGAGACCCCCTTTGAGGGAGCTGGGTGGTTCAGAAATTAGATAGATAGATAGATAGATAGATAGATAGATAGATAGATAGATAGATAGATAGATAGATAGATAGATAGATAGATAGATAGATAGATATGATAGACAGACAGACAGAGACACAGATGGATAGATAGAAAGATGATAGAGAGAGACAAATAGACAAACAGACAGATGGATGGATGGATGGATGGATGGATGGATGGATGGATGGATGGATGGACAGATGATAGGCAGAGGCAGACAGAGAAGAGATAAATAGGCATAGATATATAGAGGGAGAGAGGGACGGACGGATGGAGGGACAGATAGATAGACAGACAGATGATAGACAGAGGCAGGCAGAAAGATAGAGATAAATAGGTATAGATGAATGGATGGATAGATACAGACAGACAGACAGACAGACAGACAGATAGGTACAATGCACATGTGCCTTGCATATAAAATACAGATAGTCCTCGACTTATGACCACAATTAACCCTAAACATTCTGGTTGCTAAGCACGACAGTTGTTAAGTTGCTTGTTCTTATTTTTTCCATTCTCCATTCTTCTTCCATTCGTGTCATTTGCCTCGGAGGTCAACAACATTGTGTGTTGTGTAATTTTGATTCCTTTTTTTGGTTTGGAATTTTAATAAAACGCTTCTTTTGATAACATCCCGCTGTTTTCAGTTGCTTTTCCCTTGCCCTTTCAGGGGTGGGGGGGGGGGGGGATGTGGTGGATGGGGGTTCAAAAAAGGCAGGTTGCTGGCTACCATTTGACAATTCACCCCCTCCTCTTTTGGGGGGGATGTTGCACAGGTAAAGGGGGGGCAGGGCTCTGATCAAATGGTGATGGCTGCCATCTTGACTTTTCTGACCTCCCCAGTCCCACCCACAGATGCCTTGGAAGCGGTCTGTTCCATTGTTTGCTCCCCCTTCCGAATCTGATCTCCGTTAACCGCGTCCCAAGACACCATTGGCAGGTGAGGCTGGACGCAATGGGGGTGGTGGTGAGGATTCTGGGAGTTGTAGTACGACACCACTGAAGAGCCCAATTTCAGGAGGTATATTATATTTGAGAAACTGGAGATCTTCAAGAAGAAACTGGACAACCATTTGTCTGGCTTGGAATAAGGACTCCTGCCTTAGCCAGAGGGGTGGACTAGAAGACCTCCAAGGTCCCTTCCAGCCCCAGGATTTTATAATTTTATGATATTGGGCAGAGCGTTGGTCTAGATGACCTCCAAGGTTCTCTCCAGCCCTAGGATGCTATAATTTTATGATCCGGGACAGGGGGCTGGTCTAGAGGACCTCCAAGATCCCTTCCAGGCCTAGGATTCAATGATCTTGGGCAGGGGGGTTGGATTGAAGACCTCCAAGGTCCCTCCCAGCCCTAAGATTCCATGAAATGCTGTTAGTAGCTTGTGGAGAACCAGAGTGGTGAGAAGCTGCCTGGTCTTGCATGGGTGAACCTAGAGTAATGTCCAACAGACAGAGTCCTCCTCGGAGTCAAAGGAAGACATATATGGCTCTCCTAAGCACATTTACCCCAAAACAAGTCCTGTGGGGTGCAATGTCTCTGGAGATTCCCAATCATCCAGGTCAGGGTTATCCCAAAGGTCCTTTCCTCCCCCCCCAAAAAAAGGCAACTGGACTTCCTTTCTTTTTCCTTGAAGACCTTTTGCTTCTCATCCAAGAAGCTTCTTCAGTTCTGACTGAACAGTGGCGGAAGGATTTGCATTCCTTGCAGTCCTCTGGTCATTAGCGCTCTCTCTGAGAGTCATTGAGGCCACTTGGAGGGTGACACATCCTCCTCTGTCCAGAATGTGGACTTTGCTGTCTTCAGAAGAGTGGCCTTTGTCTTTGCTAGCCCGTCTGCATTTAAAAGGCCACTCTTCTGAAGACAGCAAAGTCCACATTCTGGACAGAGAGGACTGCTGGTTTGAAAAAGGGGTCCAAGAGGCCATCGATGTCAAAATTGAACAGCCCCCTCTCAACAGAGAGGGGGGCAGATACAACACCACCGTCCCACAACACAGTCTTTGAGAAGTTCCAAGACGGTTACACACCCATTTGCACTATTCAGGGGACCTTAAGGGGCACAGACAAATCTCCAAGTGGCCTCAATGACTCTCAGAGAGAGCACTAACGACCAGAGGATCTGCAAGGAATATAAATCCTTCCATTCCTCACCATTCAGTCAGAACTGAAGAAGCTTCCTGCATGACGAGAAGCGAAATGTCTTCAAGGAAAAACAAAGAAAGCCCAGTTGCCTTTGGGGGTGGAGGGGGGTGGGGAAGGACATTTGGGATCTGTGGAGTGCAGTGAAGCTCCATCGGAAGCAGGATGAGATTCCAGAAAGAGATTCTTACACACAACTCGGACCCACAGGAGTCTTGTTGGATCCTTCTCGTCTTCAGCCCCGGCCCCTCCGTGCTGCCTGCCTCTCAGCTCCAGCTGAAGAGTAAGAGAAGCTTAAATGACCCAGAGCTCTGTCTAGATCAGAGGTCTTCAAACTTGGCAGCTTTAAGACTTGTGGACTTCAACTCCCAGAATTCTCCAGCCAGCATAGCTTTGGTCCTCTGGTCTAGGGTCTCCTGCTGGAGTAGGGGGTTGGACTAGAAGACCTCCAAGGTCCCTTCCGTGTCGTTGATTTTGTATTCTGAAGGTTTTTTGATTATGTACTATCAAGTCAATGTTGACTTTTAGCAGCCACAAGGATAGATCTTCTCCAGGGTGAAAAGTTCTATGTTCTTAACCTGGTTCTCCTCTCAGTTCCTGAGAGAAAGACTTCAAAAAGAACTAGGTCTTTGCACTGACTGATGGATCAACTCATTATGTGCCATCAAATCGAAGTCAGCTGGAGAATTCTAAGAGTTGAAGTCCACAAGTCTTAAAGCTGCCAAGTTTGGGGATCCCTGATCTAGATTGAAGCCATCTTTTCCCTCTTGTGGGACGTCAACTTTGAGAACTTCAGGATGTGGGGGGCGGGGGGGGGGACATCCCTTGGCCACGTTGGAGGGCTGGGGAAAGAGGGAGGAGAGGGGATCAGCAATGGGGCAGCTGGTTGTATGACCGAGACGGCCCTTCCTCCCTTGCGTCTGCTGACAACCAAACCACATCACAGCAGCCTCTGGTTCCCCATCGTCCTCCAGATGTTGACCCCATCTGATGGGCCATTCGTACGTCAGACAGCCTCAAGGTACCACCAGCCTGTGCCAGGGTGAACACTGTAGGGCCATTGGTGCTCTCTGAGCTTGGTGGTTTCCTTGCAGATGTTTCATTATCCGACTAGATTGGGTATGTCTATAAATGTCTATAAACAGGGAGTACACCCCACTCCCTTCCAGAACTGATGAGGTTACTTAGTTGGGTAATGAAATGTCTGCAAGGAAACCACCAAGCTCAGAGAGCACCCAGGATCCCACAGTCGTTCTCTTCCTCCCCCTCCTCCCCCTCCCCCCTCCTCCTCTTTGCACATCTCACTCCATTCTGGCACTGATAATGTTACCTAGTTGGGTCATGAAATGTTTGCAAGAAAACAAGCTCAGAGACTACCAAGGGCCCCACAGTCCTCCTCCTCCTCCCCTTTGCAAACCCCACTGCCTTCTAGCACTGATGAAGTTACCTAGTTGGATCATGAAATGTCTGCAAGAAAACCGCCATGTCCAAGGAGCAACAAGGACCCTACAGTCCTCCTCCTCCCCCTCCTCCCCCTCCTCCTCCTCCTTTCAACAAACCCCTCTCCCTTCTTGTACTGATGATATTACCTAGTTGGGTCATGAAATGTCTGCAAGAAAACCACCCTGTCCAAGGAGCAACAAGGACCCTACAGTCCTCCTCCTCCTCCTCCTCCTCCTCCTCCTCCTCCTCCTCCCCCACGCCCTTCTAGCTAGCACTGATGATGTTCCCTAGTTGGGTAACGACATGTTTGCAAGAAAGCCCCCAAGCTGAGAAAGCACCAAGGACCCCCCCAGTTCAACCCTGAGCTACAGATTTCCTGCCAGTGAGCACAATTAATCAATTGAGCAGCCTCCCTCCTGCAGTGGTGGGGGCTCCCATCTCTGGAGGTTTCCAAAAGCAGAAGACAATCATTTAACAGGGGATGGTATAAGTCTCCCGCCTTGAGCAGGGGGTTGGACTAGAAGACCTCCAAGGTCCCTTCCGGCCCTAGCAATCTATGCCCCATAATTATTCTCTTCTATTACAGTTTCCTATTAGACAACGCCAGCTTTCCCATGGGTGCATTGTGATGTGTTGTTGGACTCAGCCCGAGGAAGGCTGGCATGAATAGGACCCCCTCCCTCTCCAGAGTTGGAAGGGCCCTTGTAGGTCATCTAGTCCAACCCTCTTCCCAAGCAGGAGATCCGACACCCCATCACCTCTGGATCTCCAAATATGGGCGTCCTGAACAGCAGCTGACCAGCCGAAGGGTCAAAAGAGGTCTACCCAACGAAGGAGAAAAGACCCCTGACTATTGGCCCTGTTGCATTTGTCCCCGGGCCCATCAGTGGCTGCTGTGGAACATGGATGCCGGGCTTTTCTAGAATAGTGTTACACGATAGTCAGTACTCATGGACCCTGAATTATTTACAAAACATGTCAGAGTACAAATACCACATGTAGAATGCAGCATTCCTGCCTTCAAATAGACAGGAAGTCCTCAACTTAACAACGATTCACTTAGTGACCGTTCGAAGTTACAACCGCAGTGAAAAAAGTGGCTTATGACTGTTTTTCACACTTACGACCGTTGCAGCATCCTCTGGTCACGTGACCCAAATTCAGACGCTTGGCATCTGGCTCGTATTTATGACGGTCGCAGTGTCATGTGATCCCCTTTTGCGACTTTCTGGCAGGTAAAGTGCCAGATTCATTTAACGACCATGTGACTAGCTTAACAGCTGCAGTGGTTCATTTTACAACTGTGGCAAAAAAGGTCGTAAAAGGGAGCAAAACTCACTTGGCAACTGTCTCGCTTAGCATTGAAACTTCTGGGCTCAGTTGTGGCATATGTTGAGGATTAGCTGCATGCACAAACTTTTTTAACTCACTTAACAACTGTTTCGCTTAGCAGTGGAAATTTTGGGCTCAATTTTGGTCCTAAATCGAGGAATACCTGTAGGAGGACCAAAGTTAAAACCATTAAAAATGAAGACTGAGGAATATTGAGGGAATTGAAAAATAAATGAGTGCGGGGACCCCTTTCCTAAAACATTTTATGAGCTGTGGTTTTGGGGCTACGGATTAAAAAAAAAAGTAATGAAAAGGAAACACCCTTATTAAGAAAAGAAATAAAAGGGGTATTGTCGCTAAGTAGCTACATCCCCAGAGGAATGGATGAAGCCATTCAAAAGTCAGTATTTCTTCGATTTTTAGAGGCTGAGGATTTCCTTCCTCCCACCTCTTTTTTTTCCCTTGAAATATTTGCCCCAGGAAAATGCATTTACTCTCTTCCCAAAGTCTATTATTCTGCTCATCCAGACAGATTAAGTCGGAGGCCTTTAAGAAGACAAGCGACTCTTGCCACTAACTTTGGGAATTAAACCGGCTCTTCTTTCCTATTGACAACTCGATTCAGATTGACGGGCTTTTTAGCTCATAAGCACAGCTCAGAGGAACCGCTAATATAAAATCGGTTTCCGCTGGCTTTCGTTCTTAAATAGTTAGGAAAA